ACTTAAACACTAAAAACTGAACTACACTGTTCCATTTACTATGACCATTTATGTAAAGCTGCTTTGACACAATCTACATTGTAAAAGCGCTATACAAATAAAGCTGAATTGAATTGAATTATTTATTAAAAACAAATATTACTATCAATCGTGTTTTTAAGAGAAATAATGACCAATTTTATAATGGTTGCTCTTCTAAAATGAAATGATATACGTAGCTGATGAATCTGACCCCCAGAGCCATCTAAGTGAGACGCAGCTGCTGTGCTCTTGTTTACCCTCGCCACTGTGCACCTGCTCTGTGTATTTTACAGTTTGCGCATATCAATGTAATACTGAACAGTTTAAATTTATTAACTGAAATAAGTTTACTTCACACAAATGGTAGAGTAATTTACTTCAAAAAAGTAATTAATTACTAATTACATCATTAAAATTGTTATGAAATTACATTTTTAATTACTGTGTCTGAAAAGTAACTCAGTTACTCAATAAGTTATTAAATTACTTGACTCAACACTTTTGAAAATTTAATGCATAAATGCCGCATAACCAATAGAAATTAAACTCTTTTAATTCTTTAAATCTGAGCCAAACAGGACCTTTTAGCTTTATTAAAGAATGTAACACTGTAAGTGTTATAAACCTTATGTATTATGTATCAAAACACAAAACATTTGAAAGCGAAGCATGTTCAAACTACTTGATAAATTAATTAATCTGCTTCTCTTAATTGACTGACCCAGAACTGCTGAATTTATAAACAGTACATTAAGTACATTAACTTTAATTAGTTAACTGAAAATGAAAGATAAAGATTTTCTGCAAAAAAATAGTCTAGTTACTTTGCAACTAATTATATCCAACACTGCTCGAATGTAAGTGAAAGTTCAGTGTACTTAATTGGCAAAAAGTTCTGTGAACTAAAACAATCTGATATTGTTAAAGGTGCAATAGGACATCTTGGAAAAAGCTAACGTTAGTCTGATATCAACGAAAGCAGCCCAGGCTTATTCTGATTATGTACCCCCATATACATTTCTGGAGAGAGGAAAGTTTTTTGTTTTTGCGAATCCACCAGAGGTCACTGTGTATGCTTTTTCAGATCTCAAATTTTTTCTTGCAAGTGCCAATTGCACCTACCGATAAACCCACGCTTCCCCTTCCCTAAACCCAACCATTAGTGTTTTAAAAAGCAATCCAGAAAAAGAAAAGTCTTATAAAACAAATTAGACTTTCTCCAGAAGTAAAAACATCATAGGAAATACTGTAAAAAATTCCTTTCTCTGTTAATCAGCATGTAAAAAATATTTGAAGGGAATAATAATAATATTGACTTTAATTGTATAAATAGTGCATAATTGATTTATTTAGCGCATGCTAGTCTGCTGATATTAAGTACTCAATAATGAAGTTTTCAGTTATCGTGACATTTATGTAAGCAACTTGTATGAGTTAATTCTACTAACCTCTTTAAAGGTGGAACAGGCGATGTCAGAAAGCTAAGCAATTGTGAAAGCCAAAGATTCTGCCCTTTACGAATAATCACTGTCCAAATCTAAAACACATGAACACCCAGAGGCAGAGCTGAGGCTCAAGCGATAGGACAGAAAACATTAAAAAGCACATATTACAAAACACAACATTAAAGAAGTCAGTGCGAACAGGATGTGCAGAGCTATGCAAATTCATATGTTGACAGGCAGTTAGGACAGCCTATCATAACATTCGGACCACACATTTTAATTGGACAAGTTTTTTTTTTTTGGTCCCACGCCTTTCACACATGATAAAAAGATTTATAAAACAGTTTTAGACCGCTTAACTTTAGTAAATGCAATCGAGTCCGAGATGTAAACAAACTTTTAACCTGGGGTGCTTTTCCCAAACAACGACATAACTCATGGCTGAACTATCACAGTACGATGCATTGTTTGGGAAAATAACGATGTAGTGACAAGTGTTTCCTATAACAACCCATCATTTCTGTTGCAGATCCATAATTTGAACGCCCTTATGGATGCTCTAAACGGGGCGGAAAAACAACTTCTTCAAAGAAAAATAATAATAAAATTGTACAAAAGGCTAACACGTATTCTGACATCATATATAAATCATATTGTTAATGGTTGTAATTTACAGTAGACTATTTATTAAAAAAATTAAAAAATCCAACTTAATAATTAGTTTTATTATTATTATTATTAGTAGTAGTAGTATTAATTTAGTTATTAATTTATTATCGCATTTCTGTGTGGAGTTTGCATGTTCTCCCTGCGTTCGCGTGGGTTTCCTCTGGGTGCCCCGGTTTCCCCACCTGTCCAAAGACATGCAGTACAGGTGAATTGGGTAGGCTAAAATTGTCCGTAGTATATGAGTGTGAATGAGTGTGTGTGGATGTTTCCCAGAGATGGGTTGCGGCTGGAAGGGCATCCGCTGCGTAAAAACATGCTGGATAAGTTGGCGGTTATTCTGCTGTGGCGACCCCGGATTAATAAAGGGACTAAGCCGACAAGAAAATGAATGAATGAGAGATGACTTTAAGGCTTTTTTAAAAAACATTCCAAGTTTAAATTTGGAACTTTCTAAATGAATAGGGCATAGGGGGGGATAACTGGGAATAGAACACAGCCAGGATGTTTCTACTTACAGCTCCTGAGGTGTAGTTGCAAGTGTACAAGTTTGCAACACAGTTTGAGAATGTTTGTTGGAACGATAGATTTGGGAAACGCCAAATGAATAAACTATGTTTGTAATGACGTAACTTGCAACCTTAGTTGGCTAATGATGGTTTTCAGAAATGCACCCCAGCATAGCAAAATAGGCTTTTGAACTGAATCAAAGAGCCTGCATTTAAATTGAGCCTTGTACTTAAATGTTGAGGTAATCGCTTTCCTCAAATGTTTTACTCCCCTCTGCATTTCTTATATAACATTTGTAATCTTTATTTTACTGAGCTTTAAGTTATGCTAATTTTATTTTATTTTTTATTTTTTTGGATAATAAGTGGTAAGTATTTGGTAAACACAACATGTCTTGACAGTCACAGATACTACGTTGTGGGAAAAGAAGAATCGTTTTCAGGTCCAATGAGTGGCTGCTGGTGTAGTTTACCTAAAACCTGAGATACAACATTAAACTTGTTGTGGCCTGCGTGTGTCCCTGATCTGGAACAGGATTCATTCATCAATATGGGCCAAGAGAAAACTGGTTGTGCTATTTGATATGTGAGAAATAACACACTGTAATGTAGGCTTAGTTTGTGTTGCACATTGCAGAGTCTTTCTGAAGCATGGCATACATAGTAGTTTGGCTTTTTTCAAAAAAAAATTGCTTACAGTTGTCGGACTTTTAGTGAAAGTAAAGTAAATATCTTGAGCAGAATGATAACAAAAATGTATTAAGAGTTAATAATTGCCAACTGCACATAGAAACGCCAACTGAGCCGAGGCTCGAACCAGCAACCCAGCAACCTTCTTGCTCTTAGGCGACAGTACTACCTACTGCGCCACTGCTTTGCCCTCATTATATACAGTATGATGTATTTACTTTGTATTTTAAAAACATTATTCTAAATCTTTAGGAAATATTTGGTATGTCAAAAAGTGTGGTTATTCTGACCATCCGACAAGCTGATCCAGCTTAAAAAAACAGCTTAAAATGTCAGTAAAATGCAGTATTTAAATTACATAAATAAATAGAAAATGAGGCAAATAACTGTTAAAAGGTCCACCTTTTGAGAAAAAAGAACCACCCCTTTCACCAGGCTGGTGGATACCTGTAGCCTGATAGGTAAAATACAAAGAATCAGGAGAATATGTCCAAAACACATGGCCTAATACTTACATGCAGGATCATAATGCTAATAACAAACTATATATATATATATATATATATATATATATATATATATATATATATATATATATATATATATATATATATATATATATATTTATATATATATATATATATGTGCAATATCACACAAGTAGCAGTGCAATATGGCTGTATATCGGCACTGGTGTGAGGCGTGCGTTGTGCCCCCACCAGTGCCGATATACAGCCATATCGAACTGCTACGGGTGTGATATTGCGTTTATACATCAGTTTGACGAAATAATTGTGTATATAAAAACAAAATTAAGCATGGAGAGTCTCAATAACCCTTTTGTATGAGGAACTACTTTCTTCCGCGTTGGATTCAAATCATAAGCTGAAAGTAAAACAGCTGAGCAAGCGTCTTTTAAACTTTAGATCTGTAGTGTCTGGTTTTTACTGGCTGTATGTGAGTGGAGTAATACACAAAGGGTAAAGAGGCTGTACTGGTGCTGATATTACTTAAATATATCACGGCTATCAGCCAATCAGATTTGAAAACCAGACAGAACTGTTGTATATATATATATATATATATATATATATATATATATATATATATATATATATATATATATATATATACACACACACACACACACACACACACACACACACACAATATGTTTTTACAGTGTACATGGCTAAACTCTATAAAGGAAAGTAAATATCCATTATAAATGGCCAGATTACTGTAATCCTCTTCACTTGGGAGTACTAATGCCTTGTTTATGCTCCTGATATAATCTGTCATTCATGCTCACCCATATGTACACTAATAAAAGTCTCAAAATCACTTTAATAAATCAGCCTGATCTCAATGTATTTTATGTATTTATATGGACATACGTTTTATAAAGGCTGTTAGACCTATCGAGTTAGGTAAAGGTAGTAGGTGCCACAGGATGAAAAAAAACCTCCCCTCCTCTCCCTCTCTCTTTTGGGAGAGAGCGCGAACGAGCATAGCCGTGTCGCAATGTCTCCACAGGCAGAATTGCAAGGAAATACGACTGGGAAATGAACGAACACGACGCCAACGACTGCAATAAACGACAAACCCACACGTAAGAACATTTCATTTACTGCTTTCTCGGAACACACTGTTAAATATTAATGCATATGCGCGCGCGTGAGTATCGTATGGTTCATGACCATGACAGCTACTTACGCAGTAAACTCCTTGGTCATCTTTCACTAAGCGTAACGCTCAGGTAGAAATGCTTTTATGGAGATGTCAATATGGTTGGTGTTTATTTTCGGGCCGCTGTGCTACGGAAACCGTACGTTTCTCTCGAGGACGTAGGCTATTCGGTCATTTAGACAAGATGGGAAACGACTGCAGCATGACTGTTAGCGCAACCGTGCATGGCAGTAGGTTTATCCATGCTAAAGGGCGATACTTAATACTGGAGATACATATTATTCTGCTTGAAACACCTTCACGGCACACCCTGTCAGGTAATCTAATGTGTGACTCCTGTATCTTAACTTGTTTTAACCAAGTAAAAATTGGTTAAATAACTGCATAATGTGTCGTTTTGAATGACTTTCCGACGTTCCTATTGAAAACTATATATGCAGTTGAAGTCAGAATTATTAGCCCCCCTGAATTATTAGCCCCCTTGTTTATTTTTTTCCCCAATTTCTGGTTAACAGAGAGATTTTTTAAACATATTTCTAAACATAATAGTTTTAATAACTCATTTCTAATAACTGATTTAATTTATCTTAATTTTCTATGATGACAGTAAATAATATTTTACTTGATATTTTTCAAGACACTTCTATACAGCTTAAAGTGACTTTTAAAGGTTTAACTAGGCAGGTTAGGGTAATTAGACAAGTTATTGTATAACCATGGTTTGTTGTGTAGACTATCAAATAAAAAAAAATTAGCTTAAAGGGGCTAATAATTTTGACCTTAAAATGGATTTAAAAAAATAAAAAATGCTTTTTTTCCAGTTGAAATAAAACAAATATGATTTTTCTTGAAAGAAAAAATATTATCAGTCATACTGGGAAAATTTCCTTGCTCTGTTAAATTTGGGAAATATTTAAAAAAGAAAAAAAAATTCAAAGGGGGGCTAATAATTCTTACTTCAACTATATATATATTCTATCTTCATTTTGACTCTTTGCCAAAAACAACTGGCCTTACCTGTTTAAAAATTGCAAGTACAGTAAACCCCATCTATCATCATTGGCAAACTTTCCACTATATCCATGTCCTTCTCCACAGCATGTGTAATGTTTTTTTTTTCTTGATACTCAAGGTAGTTAGCGCTCTAATAGATAAAGAAGATAACGAACCAACCTAACCACAATGGTGATGTCAGTCTCTTTTAAAGGATTACTTCGCCCAAAAACGAAAATGTTATTAATTACATGTAATTCCAATCCCCCGAGAGTTTTTCGGCCATCTTTTTCAGAACACAGATTAAAGTATTTTTAGATGAAATCTCAGAGTTTCCTCATCCTCCATAGTATTACTGGGCAATTTGGCCTACAATCAAAATCTTGATTAATTGAACATTTGAACTCGATTACAATTAATAAATGATTATTTTATGTATTTATTTTATGTTTGTGCCCTCATAGTTCACTGACAAGTTTTGTCTAGTATATGCTCACATATTACAAGTGAGAGATTTTTGAATGAAGTGTGCATTACTTGATTTTAAAATGATTGAAGTAAACACAACATCTATGATTATTTATTGAACATCAACAATGAACGACTGAAATTAAAACACACATTGCCTAAAACGCCGCTCTTCCTTGTCACTGCTACCAAACCGCCCAATCACAAAGCTTGCGCTATGCATTGTTATGACGTGTAGTAAAATGTTTTCGAGAGGTGCGCAGGTATGTGAAGGCTGCGCCGGACCGCGCGTGCGTGCTTGGGTCATGTGACTCCACACGTGGTTGGAAAAGTAATTGAAAAAAATTGACCTGGAAAAATTAGATCTGAATGTCGTTTTCGATTAATCACCCTGCCCTACTCTATAGAAAGCAATGGTGTCAAGACATTCAAAGTTCATCAATCAAAACATTGTAAAAAAATTCCATGAGACTTTAATGTAATCATATGAAGCGCCAAATAAGGTGACAGGAAAAGGTGCGCATGAACTATTTGCAGTACAACGTATTGTCAGTAGCGTAACACACAGGCTTTGTATTGCTCGTAATTAACACACAGCCTAAACTGAGGAGGATGACATAGTAAAATAAAGTTATTTTCACACAGTTTCACAGTTTATGGTTTGCTTTTCTGGACTTTGAACATCTCTGGACCGTTGCTGTCTATGGAGGATAAAGAGGTTTTCAGATTTCATCAGAAACATCTTAGTTTGTGTTATAAAAACAAATGAAGGTATCAGGGCATTGCAATGACATGAGAGTAATTAGTAATAACTCATTATTAATATTAATTATAATTATTATTTTTGGGCGAACTAACCCTTTAACACTGGAATCGCTAGTACTTTCTAAAAATATGTACATTTTGTAATGGAATGCACAGTTTGTGAAGGTGCAGGGACTGAACAACATTGGATCTTATTTGTCATCTTACTGACGTTACTTCAGACTTGTTTCCAACGGAAATAGAACAAAGAGGGTGGCTTTATTTTAGCCCGCCTCCTCACCATCTCTCACTCACAGCAAACAAACGTTTGGAGGGCAGTCGCTAAGAATATTCAGCCCAAGCCATCTAGCATCATCAGAGAAGGAATGCAATTTCATGTAAACAAATTCCTTTATGCTGTCATTAAAGGTAACCAAAACAAACTATTTTGCCACGGTGGCTTAATTTTATAATTGTGGATTTATTCATTATTTATTTACCGTTAAAAAACAGTATTGTGTGGCAAAATGACAAGGAAAATCATGACTAGGATAATATTAAAGCTTAGTATTTCAGATATACCATGAAACATTAAATATTTAAACATTTACTTTGCCAAATATGAATCATGTGGTTTTTATTTATTGTACAATAATGTCTGACAGGGGTTATTTCATCAAAAAATGAAACCTAAAAACCTAATTAACCTAAAAAGCAGCCCTCCACCATTCGTTTTCAGAGCGTTTAATAATATAATGTAATATTTGTTAAAGATAATGTGAGCCACTAAAAGGCATAAATGTTGAGTTTAAGATACACAAATGAACACTGTAGTCTCCATAGACTGTCTTCTTCTGTGACACTTTTTACATTTTCAGTTTTTCATAGAGTAATGTTGTGAATCTGCCGCTATGCTGATGCACAGGCATTTGTAGCCCTGCCCCTTTTTGAAAATTAATTTGAATTTAAAGCAACAGCCACCAAAACTATACAAGGCAAGGCAAACTTTATTTATAGAGCACAATTTAACACAACCGTAGTTGATCCAAAGTGCTTTACAATAAAATAAACTAGACAATAAAACTAAAAATAACTGGTATTAAAAATACAATAAAATAAATTTAAAAGTAATACTAAAATATAAATAATACAAAAATAACATGCATGCATCAGTCAAAGGCAAGAGAGTAAAAATGTGTCTTTAAGTTAGATTTAAAAGCATCCAAAGAAGGAGAGATTCTGATATTCAGAGGGAGACTATTCCAGAGCCTTGGGGCCGCAAGTCTTATGCTGCATTCACACCAGATGCGGAAGAAGTGTCAATCGCGAGTGATTTACATGTTAAGTCAATGCAAAGATGCGAATAGACATCCTGCAGCGTGATACGTGCGAATCGCGGCATTCATGCTGCCGCCTCATTTATGCATATTGCACTGCAGGATGTCTATTTGCGTCTTCGCAATGACTTAACATGTAAATCACTCGTGATTGATGCTTTTTGAATGAAGCAGCACGACTGACGTGCTTAATGCGAAAATTTATCGAGTTGGAAAATCTGAACTTTAGTGGACATTCGGGCCGCATTAACCAATCAAGAACTTGCTCTTGTAGGGGAGTGATTATGACATAGCGCCTGTTGTTGGTGTCTCTGTGGGAAATCCTCCCGTTAACACTGGACAACAATTTATCAAACTTGGCTCGGCTCAGACGGAAGCACTGCTGAAAGCTTCCATCATCCAGGTATAGTTTCTGTAGAAGTTTATGAACTCACAAAGCTGGGTGCACCTCAGATTGGACTCAGGCACGTCTCCAAACTAATCAACACAGTTTTTCAGTCTTTCTAATGCACATAAACACAGCTATTATTAATAAAATCCATGTTAGCCATTTAGTAACGAAGCTAGAGTTACCGGGCAGACAGAAGCCTTGCCCATGACGCGAATCCGTGTCTGTTGTGAAGTGAATTTGACGCGAGTAAACTCAAAATGTTCACACATCTATTTATCACGGCGTACAACGTCTGGTGTGAACACAGCATTAAAGGTGCTCTGTATAAGTTATTGACTCTTCTAAAGCATAAACATACCATAATGTGTGTGCAGATATTTAAGAAATAAACTAAGTGAACTTTTTTTTTTTATCTGAAAAACAATGCTGAAGTCAGATATTCTGCTTTGAAAATATGTGTTGCGTGCTTGAACATCTGTCTTTGTTTTGGTCGATTAATCGGCTCAATGCCAGTTTAGCCAATTATATTTCAGCACCCTGGGTTTCCTTGGTGGCAAACAGTAAGCTTTTTCATTTATTTAGTCATGTAGGCTCTCAAAGTATGTGTCTGTGACCGAAGTGCAACATCCGGTGGACAGCAGCAGACTCCAAAAGGAGACACAGATTCAGAGTTCCACATGAGGTGGTTATTAATAAACAAATATTATACATATAAAAACATAAACATTAGGTGAGCAGGTTACATTGTAACCCCTTGTTCTAACAACACGCTACTTGACTGGATACACAGTGATAAGCAATTTGGCTGTTTGCACCAGACGAACTATGACAAAAATGTAAATACAGCCATTTAGAAGCACAGAATATTGCACTCACTGCACTCCAGTGAATTGGTAAGGTTTATAATCTAATTAATACATTATAAATCTCTCTGTTAAATGTACATTCTGAATCACTGATGTGTGTTGGCTTGCACTGAGTCACTGTTCTAAAGCTTAATTTCAAACCATTTTATTTTATTTTCAAGATCTGAGATGATGTATTAATTTGTAAATCAATTTGTGCGAAGTGACATTGGTGCCCCAGTCGTCACACACACACACACACACACACACACACACACACACACACACACACACACACACACACACACACACACACACACACACACACACACACACACACACAGAGAGAGAGAGAGCTTCTACAATGAAACTAAACCCAGACGCCAGAATCTCTGAGCAACTTTATACTTGCAAGGTGTAACTTCATCACAGCGTTAGATTTACTCTGTGAAGTCATTGAGTTGTCACTACTGTTTTTTTCAGCTGTAAAGCATTTACACCGACAGTAGTTAAACAGATGCAGCACATATGCATTGAGA